TGCTGGATAATGAAATATGTTTGGCATTCATTGACACTAGTCGACTTTGGTATTTAATTTGATATCAACTTATTAGGAATGTTAGCTGTCTCAAATTAGTTTTGTAATGGGCCAGTGTTTGAAAACGTCGACAAGACTTTTGCTTAATTAGCATTAACAGTGCTAGAAAACGAAAATTCATATGAAGTCATATCAAATCGCTATCATCGTTAAGTTTTAAATAAATTTATTAAATTGTCTCCAACTACTCTAGTAAATGTGGTAGATTAAAGCAAACCTGATCAGTGCTGATAAATGCATTTCGAATGTGCAATTATTCAGAACCGAATGCAAATTAAATTGGCGAATTGAAATTCGCTTACAAATCGCGCGTTTCCCACATAATTTAAAGCCTAATGAAAACGGATTTCGAAGCCGATTCGCAAGAGAAAAAACAAATTATAATTATTTTGTGGCATGTCGATTCAATTCGCTTCGATTCGATTCGATTCGATTACCTTTTTTCATCTTTTTTTTTTTTTTTTTTTTTTTGCAATTTCAATGAGCTTGGAGCCATTGAATTACAAATTGATATCAACAGCTACCGAATGTCTCAATGCGCCTCCTTTTGGCGCGCCAATGATCGCTCATTGCAATTGACATACTGGAAATGCGAACACACACATGGCGGTAAAGAGAGAGAGAGAGAGAGAGAGAGCGAGAGAGAGAGAGCGAGAGAGAGAGAGAGAGCGAGAGACAGGGAGATGTATCGGGATAGAAAGAGAGGGAGAGAGGGAGACGGCGTTATCTGGCTAATGGTAAATTCATTGGTTTTTAACCACTTGCAAACGCGCTAAGCGACCAAAATTAATGTTTATTAAAATGCGCTCATTGCGCTACTGTTTATAATGCATGGGAACAGGTCCGCTGAGCGGAGAAATACATATAACCAGATCAGCGTTACAAACCGAAACACCGAAAGACAGACGGATGGACACAATTATGCATCGAGTCTGACAGGCAGCTGACACATGCATGCAGTGGCTACAAAATAAAGTTGTTTATGCTGTTAAGTGAACAGGGTATTCATTTGTCATCACACGAAACAGATTACACAAACATCGGGCGAGACATTCCAGATTGAGTTTTGAGCTGGAGTCGGTCGTCGGAGTTGGAATTTTGAAGTGGCAAAGATTTGCTGAAAGCCAAACTAAACTCAGATTCCATGACAGGCCTAATGCATTTAAATAGATGATTAGATCGATAGCAAATACAAGTTTTCCATTCCAGAGTAAATGCTGCAATAGAACTAATTAAGCAGTGACTCCTGCCATTTGCCATTGCCTGAAAGTCTTGCCAGACTTCAATTGCACTTCAGGCAGTACCAGATCTGAGCTCTACAAATGTATAAATGTACGGCCTATGGAGACCCCAGCTAGGCATCGATAATTACCGATTTCTTTTTCCATATAAGTTACACTGCAAATGTCATATATGTACATATATGTACGTATACAAATCTTGCATTTCCTGTCTGCCCAAAATCGATATTTATCGATTTATGCAACCAATGCACAGATATGGATGAGGCCAATGCTTCTGCTGCATATCAAAAATATAATTTCCTCATTCTAAGCGTATCCGTCTCTTGCACACGGTAAACTAGCCCAACTAGCATATACCCTGCCAATGCGAGCAAATGAAAAGCAACTTCAGTCGGAAACGAAGACTTAAATCGAATTAGCTAACTGCATTTGGATTTGTGAAATGCTGCTTATTCAAGCTCGCGTTTTGTAAATGCATTTTGCTGATTGCCCGTGGGCAGAGAAGGGGGCTGCTTGTTAGCTGCTGGCTGTTAGCTGTTGGCTGTTAGCTGTTAGCTGTTAGCTGTTGCCTGTTGGCTGTTGGCTGTGGCAATGCTTGTGGGGACAGCTGTAGGTCGATGCCACTCATAGAATTAGCCAAGATAAGTGCGAGCGATGTCGCGCACGCCCGCTACCAGCAGCAACTGGTTAAAGTTGCGCTTGTCAACTGGAGCGGAAACGCAGACGATATGAACGACGCTGACGCTGACGCTGACGCTGACGATGACGATGGCGATGATGATGATATGATGCAGTGGCTAATGACAACGGAAATTGCTGGCATTTAATTTAAGTCGAGGAATCGAGGAGTCAGCGCATTAGCCAAGAAAAAGTTGCTTCGACTCACTTGACAACGTCTCATATCAAACACAACAGTTGACTGACTCACTCTCTCTCTCTCTCTCTCTCTCTCTCTCTCTCTCTCTCTCTCGCTGGCTGAGTGTCTGATTAACTGACTGACTAACTGATTGATGTCCAGCTCATAACACATCAATCGCCAGCCGACTAGAAAGTTGCATTTTCGACAGCCAAGACTGCAGCTTGAAATTGAAATCGTTGCAAATTGTTGAGTTTTTATCTTCGAGCTTCACTGAATATCTGTGTTCGCATTCATTGTCCAATGGCTTACCGCTAATGATCCTACACTCGAGTTATATATTGTGGAAAGGACTGCTTTCAGTTCATTGATTGTTCGATCCACCTGCTCATTCTACTGATAATACTTAACTTTGCTCATATCTTTTAGGCATTCCGGCCACATTAACCTACATCAATATGGATCGCAGTCTGTCGGGCTCGCCGGAGCTCATACCGTATCCGGACTGGCGCAGCAATACGGCTGGAGATTGCGCAAATAGCATTACGACAGCGTACCGCATCAAGGTAGACGAATGCGCGCGGCTTTGGGTGCTGGACACGGGCACCGTGGGCATTGGCAATACCACCACCAATCCCTGCCCGTACGCCGTGAACGTCTTCGATCTGACCACGAATACGAGAATCCGACGCTACGAACTGCGCCCCGAGGACACAAACCCGAACACGTTCATTGCCAACATAGCTGTGGACGTAGGCAAGACCTGCGATGATGCAATGGCATATTTCTCCGATGAGCTGGGCTACGGCCTGATCACGTATTCCTGGGAGCAGAACAAGTCCTGGCGGTTCTCGGCCCACTCCTACTTCTTCCCGGACCCACTGCGTGGCGATTACAACATCGCCGGCCTGAACTTCCAGTGGGGCGAGGAGGGCATCTTTGGCATGGCGCTGTCGCCCATACGTTCCGATGGCTATCGCACGCTCTACTTCAGTCCCCTGGCCAGCCATCGCCAGTTTGCGGTATCCACGCGCATCTTGAGGGACGAGTCGCGCACCGAGGACAGCTATCACGATTTCATTGCCTTGGACGAGCGCGGTCCCAATTCCCACACCACAGCTCGCGTGATGAGCGACGATGGCATCGAGCTGTTCAATCTGATCGATCAGAATGCAGTCGGCTGCTGGCACTCGTCGATGCCCTATACGCCGCAGTTCCATGGCATTGTGGATCGCGACGACGTGGGCCTAGTCTTTCCCGCGGACGTCAAGATCGATGAGAACAAGAATGTCTGGGTGCTGTCCGATCGTATGCCCGTCTTTCTGCTCTCCGATCTCGACTATAACGATGTCAATTTCCGCATCTATACCGCTCCGCTCGGCGTTCTCATCGAGAACACCGTCTGTGACTTGAGGAATAATGCCTATGGTCCCTCGAATTCGGTAAATTCCCCCAATCAGCAGCAGCCATCGCTGCCCGTTGGCCCACCCAATATCTATAAGCCATATCGTCCCGCTGGACCACCCAAGAAGCCCCAACTGTCAACCAGCTGGGCGCCAGCGCCACCCAGTCGCACCTATCTGCCCGCAGTATCTCCATCCGTTGACCCGGGACAGAGCATCTCTAGCGTTAGCGTTTCGACCGGAGTGGAGATACCCAAGGCATATGTCTTCAACCAGCACAACGGGCTCAACTATGAGACGAGCGGACCCCACCTCTTCCCATCCCATCAGTCCATTGCGCAGCGCGAGGGCCTGAAGAGTTACGTGAACGCCCGCCAGGCCGGCTGGTGGCATCATCATCATTGAGACGCCTATCACACTATCTCCTCGGCTGTCTCAAACGCCAATAATTGTTCGCCTTTATGAAGTGTTTTCTGAGTATTTTGCGTTCATTATTTTGTACTCTTCTTGAATCACAATTTTTAGTATTTAAGTGAAATTGTAAGCAAAATAAATATAAATATATATACTTTTTTTTTTTACTATTTAAAACTAAAATTCCTGAAAAAGTTGTTGTTTTTTTTTATCAGCTTCATTTAAAACGAGTTTCTGAAAAAGTGCTGGCATTTGGCAACAGATGGCGCCAATTAGCCGAAAACACAGTAAAAGCTCTGTATGGATCAGTTTTCAGTTGATTAAAGCTCACCTTTTCATGCAGGGTGCACGTGATTAGTAAATAGCCTAGGCCTGGAACCAAGCGATTTGGCTTTCTCGCAATCCTCCAGGCGCCATAACGGGGCGACAGCCGGGTTTAGCAAGTGAATGCTGCATGCATAATCTATTACCACTATTAGTGCTATTACGCAATTTGGCAAAGAGCAATAGCCACACAGCAATAAACCGGAAAGCAAACATGAAGAAATATTTAGATAGCCGACAATAAAATAAAATTTCGATGGGGTCTCACTTCAGTTTGATGAACTAAGTCAAAAAAAAAAAACCAACACAAACGATGCACTTACCATTGCGTTATGATGAATAATTTTGAATTTGAATTTGAATGCGCGCTACTAAGTTATCGATAGTTTCAACTCGACCGACCGCCACATCGGAGGAACCAGCTGTCACGATGCCACATCGATGGCTCAGCCACTCGCTGTGAAGTGCACGGTTGCAGTTCGGCATACTATCGATTTATTGTTTCGATGTTTTTTTCGTACGAATTAGATGCGAATGTGAACTAGTGATGTAAATTTGGGTCGAAAATTCGATGTCGATGTTCATCGATGTTTGCAAACTGATAAATCGATGTTGTGTAAAACATCGGCTATAAACATCGATGTATCGATATTTTCTACCAATTCCGTTATTTTTCGTTAATTCAATTCTTAAACAACATTTCTTCAACATTTTGTTCTATTTTATGAATGGACCGCAGGTGGTCCTTCATGTTGGTCGTGTTACCCGCAGTCTTCAAAACTTTGTTGCAAATGTTGCATTTTGCGCTATTTCCATCAATTTTTGTAAAGTGCCTCCAGCAAAAGCTTGTCTTTGTTGTTATTCTAGAATAAATACATTTGTAATTGCAAATAACTATATTTATATATATTTTCAACAATTTACTTACTTTGGCATTGCAAACACAGGGTAAAAAAATAAAACAAATTCGCGAATTTTTCTATGTGGCAGTGTATCCATATGTTCTGCAATGTTGTGAAATTTAACGCCCGATGTTCTGTCAAACATCGATGCATCGCTTAACATCGGTATCAATAAAAACATCGGAAAACATCGCCAAAAAAACATCGATTGTCGATGCATCGATGTTTTTTCACATCACTAATGTGAACGCAATTCAAGCTCACGTTTTTTTTGTTTGCTTGGTGTTTACGCAGTGGTGGCGCAAATCTAAAGAATCGCTAGAAGACTTCATGTGCATCGCATATTGCAGTAACTAAGTCAAGGTAAGCCAACAAAAACGACGCAACGCACACACGATGAGTTTGCAAAAAAATCAAAATCTTTTGCAACTGGACTGGCAAGGGCCCAACAAAAGTTGCAATCATTATAACTATCCTGTCTCGACCCCCGTGTGAACGTACGTGCGTGCGTGCGTGCGTGCGTGTGTGTGTGTGCGTACTGCAATGCATGTATGTATGTGTATGCGCGCAACTTTGTGCTTTTGTATATGTTGCCAAAAAAACAACAACAACAAATGAAAGAAAAATGGGTTTACTGTCCCCGAGATTCCAATGCGCGCTGCTTATGGCAGTTGCGTCGCGTTGCGTTGCGTTGCGTGGCTCGCACGACAGACAACACAAACACAAAACACAAAAGCAGACACGAAGCACAACAATGCTGCCTCTGCGAATGCGACTGCTGCGACTGCGACTGCTGCGACCCAATATGGCAGCACTTGAACTTAAACTTAACCTCAAACAGCAGCGCTGCGGCTGTCGGAGAAGCGCGGCGCGTGCCAATGAACGTGCGTCAAAGATCCGACATCAAAACTAATAGAACAAAACCAAAATAAATAAATAAAGCCAATCACTGCGCCTCCCCATTAAGTGGCCAGAACTGGAGCAGCAACCGAACACCCCGACACGGGCCCAACAATAACAACAAGCTAAGCTTTTGTTAGATGACCGAAGTTTCTACACTCTTTCAACTTGAAGTTCTGAGCGGACGAAGCTTGATTTGCGGTGCATTTCGATTGCCTAAGGTGACCCAAACAAACACTAATATACTAACGATAGTACTAAAGCTCAGCAGATAAGACTCAGCAAATGTTTTAGTATGAGCTTTGTGAACCCAGGCCGAACTGGTCCACACTATATAATGCATATTTAAGCGTATGCAGATAATTAGCCTCAGATAATTGATTGGCTCAGATTTGAAACCTGTTTCCGCAGTTCTCTTGCTGCACTATTCGTAGCCAAGTTAAGATTCCCACTCAGTGCACCCAATGCCCCGTATCAATCGGGCGATACGAACTGAGCGAAGTAGCTGAGACACTCGACACGATTGCTACTGTGAATGTCTAGCACAACAAAGAGGGCCAACGGCCAGGCGCTGTCAAATCAGTTCAAAATCTCTATCACAGCTCCTAATCAGTCATCAAAAACGTATCACGTAGACAAAGCAGTAACAGAATTTTTCGAAATTAGAATTTAGTGCGCTCTAATAGTGCTCAATGGAGAACCGCGTATGTTTTGGTGCCGGTTTAAAAGTAAACAAGAGCGACATTAAAAACAATAACAAACAAGCAAAGGAAAACCAGAGCAACAACATCAACGGCGATAATATTTCTAATAACAACAACCAATGCAAGCGGGACAACGAAACACTTGATGCACTTGGCACGAGGAATAATAAGAGTACTAGAATTTCATATTATATATACCGCTATCTAGAGCGAACAATAGGCGCCGTAGTGCTTCTGGTTGGTCGAGTCCTAGCTACAGTCTACTCCTTTTTCTTTTCAGTGCGCGCGAGGGGGTCCAGACAGCCGCTGGGTCAGTTGAAGAACGTCAACGGCAACACCTGCAGCGGCAGCATGGTTAAGAAGCGTCAGAGCGACGCACAGCAGGACGGCGGCAGCTGGTCAGACTCGGGCGAGGAGGAGATGGTGAATGGCCATGCCGCTGCCGGAAGCAATGCCCCGAGTTGCCAGCACATCAAGAAGGCGGTAGATCCGACACGTTTGCGGCGTCATCTCAAATCGACTGGATTGCTCTACGATTGCCAGATGTGTCAGAAACTGAATCCGCCCAGTGAGAGTGGCAATGAATCAGCTGCATGTGAATACGACAACACACTCTGGCTGTGCCTCAAGTGCGGCACACAGCTGTGCAGCCGCGAGCGCAACAAGCACGCATTACTCCACTACCAGGTAAAAGCAATCGCACACCTTTCCGATCTGCATATATATAACCGTAATTACTTCTTGTTGCATTCACCTGCAGACTCCGCATTCGGACTCGCACGCTCTGGCGTTGAACACGCGCTCATTCAAGATCTGGTGCTACGACTGCGGCAGTGAGGTGTGCGCCAACTCGCGCAAGAACTTGCTCGATTGTGTGGAACTAGTGAAGCGCCTGGCCCAGAAGCCGCTCGCCACCGTCGCCGACGTGCAGTACAAAATAATATCAACGCTGGACCAAATCAGTCCCATTGTGCCGATGACTGGGGGCAAACAGATGAGCGCGACCACTGTGGGCAATACGGCCATACCGATGCCGCCCCCTACGCCTCCATCGCCACCGCCGTCAGCCAGCTCGACGGGCTCAGTGCCCGGCATGGCCAAGCGTGTGCTGGACAAGCGTGTCATCTGTCAGACGGCGACTGGCGTGCCGTCCACTTCATCTGTGGGCAACCCGGAGCTGGATCGATTGCCACGCGTGCGTGGTCTGACCAATTTGGGTAATACGTGCTTCTTCAATGCGGTTATGCAGTGTCTGGCTCAGACGCCATTCTTACTGGACGTACTCAAGGAACTGGCTGAGCCCGGAGAGCAGTAAGTTCCAAATGACGAAATGGAAATGCTTTGGCTAATTTTTTACTCAATTTTCACGCAGATTTGTGCTGCCCGGCGGCACGTTTAACTTTAAGGACAAGGGCGACGTTGAGCTGCCCATGATAAGGGGCACACTCTGCTCGTGGGGCAATCTCACCTCCGCCCTGGCCAATGCACTGGAGGAACTGCAGTCCGGTGGCGGCGTCTTTACGCCCAGCAAACTCTTTGACAAACTGTGCGCCAAATGCCCCCAGTTTACTGGAGGAGATCAGCACGATGCGCACGAGCTGCTGCGCCAGTTGCTGGAGAGCGTGCGCTCTGAGGACTTGAAGCGCTATCAGCGCGTCATATTGCAGAACTTGGGGTACAAGGATCAGGATATTAGCAGCGTGTCGGAGGAGCTGCGCCAGAAGTGCAAGATCTATGGCAATCAGGCAGCCGATCGCATACTGCGCCCGGACCAGGTGTTTCGCGGCTTTCTCGTCTCGACACTGACGTGTCAGGATTGCTTTAACATCTCCTCGCGACACGAGTACTTCTTGGATATATCACTGCCCGTCGCAGTGGAGAAGCCGCAGCCGCCTCAGCGTCGCAGAACTAGTCCCGAGAGCTCGCCCTCGTCCACTAACCAGAGCAACAGTGTCAACCCGAAGCTCAGCAACGGCGAGTCGGAAGTGGGCGTGCCGTCGCCTCCGTTTTATCTGCACACTGATGGCCCGGAAACGCTGGGGCCATCCAAAGCTCAGGTGAAGAAGGAGAAGGAGCGCGAACGCAAGGCCAAGCGCGCCGCCAAGCACCAGCGCACCAAGCAGGCCCAACGGCTCTCGCTTAAGCTGAACAACAGCGATGAGTCAAACGGCGGCGGCGGCGGCGGAGATGACGTCGATGGCGAGCAGCAGCCCGGCAGTGGCGATAGCCAGGGGCAGGCGCAGCCCACTTCCGCCGACACGGATAGTGAGAAGACACGCTCGGCGCCCTGGGGCGAGGGTCCTCGTACCAAATCGGCTTCCCAGAGCGCAACAACATCGGAGCAATCTGACGCCGACGTTGAGGACAATCTGGTTGATGACGCAGCCGCCGGCCGCAATGCCAAGTTCTACACAGACAGCAACGGCAACTCGCAGCCGGTGGGCGAGAAGCGCGACGATACGCCCGAGCACATGGACAAGGATTCGCTGGAGGAGGACGAGAATGGTGAGCAAGCAATCTAAATGGGCTGGCAATGTGAATGCATACGACAGGGACGGCAAATGTTAATGTTGTCTCGCTCTATTTATGTTTACAGACTCAGGCATAGCCACCAGTCCGGCACCCACCACAGCAACCAACAGCGCGGCCAGCACCACCAGCACCGCCAGCAATGGCACCAGCAGCAACAATAACAACAATGAAGCCAACAGCCGGACCGATGCGAACGCCCCAGCTGACGGCGCGGCAGCCAGCCTGGTGAACGCCAGCTTGAGCGAGAAGGGCGCCTCTCTAATACGTCAATTCTCATCGGGGCAGCTGCAGCTGAAGATGGAGCAGCTGAAGCTGCGGGAGCAGGCCAAGAATGCGGCGCCCTCGAAGCGTGTGCGCACCCAAAGCTATTCGGACTGGAGCACTACGATTGCGCCGCGCTATCAGTGCGAGGTGGGTGAGTGCTCGGTGGCGTCGTGTCTCAACAATTTCACCGCCGTGGAGCTGATGACGGGCCAGAACAAAGTCGGCTGCGAGAGCTGCACCCGCCGCATCAACGGATCCGATCCCCAAGCCAAAACTGTAAATACAAATGCGACCAAGCAGCTGCTGGTGTCCAGTCCGCCGGCTGTGCTGATCTTGCATCTGAAGAGATTCCAGTTGGGGCCGCGTTGCATTTTCCGCAAGCTGACGCGCCCGGTCAGCTACACTGTCCTGCTGGATATAGCCGCCTTCTGCGGCTCCAAAGTGAAGAACTTGCCCAACATCGATCGCAAGCAGAAGAAGCTGCTCTATGCGCTCTACGGCGTCGTGGAGCACTCTGGCGGCTTATATGGCGGACACTACACCGCCTATGTGAAGGTGCGCCCGAAGGTGACTCCCGATGATAAGCGCTGGAAATTCTTGCCGCACGGCAGCAAAGCTGAGCTGGATCAAGACGATGAGCAGCTAAAGAAGCTCGAGGAGCTGCTAGCCAAGGAGAAGGCCCGTGAGATGCGTATGAATGCCTTGGATGATAGCGATGATTTCACCAGCTCAAGCAGCAATGCATCCACCACAGATGATTCCACCTCTGACCTAAGCAATGGCGCTG